TATTACGCGCAGTCCTTTACGCAAAGAAAAGGAAATGATGATACGTCAAAGAAAAGAAATGGTATAAAGGAATTACATGTTATGGACATATGTACATAAAAAGAAACATCGAATACATAAGCAATTAAAGCTCCGATGATACCCAGTAAACCTACGTCTCAGGAGGCTCGAACCCAGTACGTTAAGTCTCACCTGGGCGACGTGGTTCGGGACCGATAGGCATCTTTGGGCAGGTCGATCACTTCGCATTTAATCCGATTGCATCGTACTTTCATTCTCGAACGGTACGACGGCAGGACGACGGTCAGTGGCGGCAGGTTACGACGACGAATGCAGATACATTGCCGGATGGTTTTAGGCCAGAGCACGCGTCGAGTATAGCCGACGCGCAGGCGCCGATGCGCCGGGACCCCCGCGCGCCTGACCAGGCGTGGCCTTTTAACAAGTCGGGAGGAAGCCACGACAACGCTGATGGAAAAAATATCCTTCACAAAATTTTTGTCGTATATTGTATTCTGTGTTGTCGCGGACCTTGTTTAGCACCGATTTTTTTTCCTTAACCAAAACAAGTACGAGCCTACATTGCACAACATTTTTGGTTGTTTCCGTTTAGGTGGGTGCCGAGATTTTCACGATAGCGCCATTAGTAAATCTCTTGTCACTACACAGTGGGATCACGCTGTGCTTTGCTCTACACCTTTCACCAAATTTATTGATCGCGACCCTGTGGTACTGATGCTGTTCGCTTGAAAATTTCTTCTGAATACCCGTGAACGCCTCTGAGGCTTTCCATGCTCAAATACACTTTTCTATACTCTGCTAGGCGCAAAATACTCCGTTATATTATGGGCAGAATTATTATGAGAGTGAAACAACATTTTGTAAGGCAACCAACAACGTTTCTTGAAAACAGGGACCAATGTCATTATGGTCTCTCAACTTTTCATGTTGAATGGTACTCTGTTTTTAGCTCGAACAAAACTTTCGGCCATCAGAATAGTACTTTACTTTATGACTTTAGAAGATGCAATAGTAGTGTAAGATAAACGCATGTGCCACTCCTAGTTTCCGATCTTATAGCTTCCCAAATCATCGCTTCACAGCCATGAGCATCTCTGGCATCTCAATTTCGACTTAATTCTTTGAAGGATAAAACTTTCGCAAATCCAACGAGAAGCCTCCACCACATACAACGATTCTACCTGTGCCAGTATTCCCTCCACTACCTCACATATGTTTGTTAACAACCATGATTGTATACATTCATCAACGGCTTGCTGGTATCGAAAACAGGGATGGTGACCTATGACTGCCAGCATCAAATTCTTCCATAGTGGTTTCGACAAATGTAGAAAAGACAGAGGAGATTTCAATTGACATTGGTTTTACCGTATTTTTACCGTTTCTACTGCATTGACACTATTAGAAATGTCCTATTTCCGCAACATCTTGTGTTCCTAAATACTGCCATAGTATATAAGGACAGAGTCTTTGGGTGACAATCAATCCCGACTGAGAGATGCGCCCCTGCAATTGACTTCCTTCAGTATCGTTCTGGCGAATTGGATGCTTATTTGGCATATAGGGTGACCTACGGTAGCCCTGATGTATAGTTCAGTGTTTTTATGCTCCCAGACGAGTGCTACCAATTAACCGACCCTGGAGAGCAACGGGATTCGTCTTGGATTCGGTATATTTTTTCTGAGTTATCTCGTGCACCTCGCTGGCGCGCTTAGCTGCTTGTGCAAATTAGGAGAAAGTGTTCGCGATCCATTAATGTATTCGCGAGAAAGTGAGTAACAGCGGAAAGATCTTGCGCTATCCTATTTTCATTTTTGCTGTAGAGCCAGCTTAGTTCAAATCGGCCGAGTATTGTAATCTGCCTTTCGACGTTCTGATCCGGCTTCTAGTGTTTAGATTGGTTAAATGATGTTCGCTTCATCCCTCTTACCCACCCTTTAAAACAATTAACGATAAGCACAACTATTAAAGCTTCTCAATAGAAGAGTTTGTGGGCTTTTGAAAATTGGGTCGTTCAGAAGTCTCTTTGCGAATTGCTTGCTCTACCGGTCACCTTTTTTGAAGACTTCCGAACTGGATCATATCGCCGTTGGGGCGGCGCGTAACACTTCCCTCTGTGAGGCTAGTCCTTAGCCCAGGTAAACGCTTGGGTTTGTGAGGTTGAAAAAGTAATACAAATGATAATTAACCAAAAACGAATCGGTGAAAGGAATGCTTCACAATCACGAAGAGCAACGGCCTCACACAAGGTTGGCCTTCCCACAGTGATTCTAGAAGAAGTACCTACCTTAGTTGGCACTGGTCGGTTGCTACCCCTACCACGGTGAGTGACCCTTCTTCAGATCATATGCGTGCCTTGGGTGCCTCGAACTTTGATACGGCTCTGGAGAGGTTCGATTGGATAGTCATAATTTGTTACGATTCTTAGAGGCTCTGATAAAGGCGATTCCACCGGAGCGTCAGCCGAATAAAGCTTACATGAGACCTCGTGAAGTGATCAGGAAAACAACTTCCTAATACAGTAATGGAAGCGATCGGAACGAAAGCGTCTGGAAAGCTACAGACATCTCTATTGATTCTGGCAATCTGCCTATGGGTGGAATCTCACGTAAAGCAACAAAGATCTAGGTCCATATAAAGTCAGCTGTATGGTTCCGGATTTGTGTGAAAAAGGAAGTACTTAGGACCTGTGCCTCGGTGAATTGAGATATTCTCAAATACGCGCTTATGTGTCCCACGATTTTCATGAAGCATTGTTAGCCCGGCGGATTAATAACAGATTGTTAATGTTTTGCCTATTTTTGGTAGTTGGTTTGCGCATAACTACTTGTGGACAAGCACCTTAAATATGACCGGTGTTTCAAAGGGGATAGATGCTGATCAAGAGCCTCGTTTCATCGCTTTTTGTTTTGAAACCATGTGGCGTACTGTTACCTCGGTGCAAGGTGCACTTCCCAAACAACTGACACACAGAGTATGCAAGTACGGAAGTTGTACTTTGTGCTGAGGGCAGTCGGGTTTCTGCGAAGGCGTGTGTGTTGCTTGCGTGGAGAGAGGTGCCCTAGTACCAAAGTGCCAGCCATGAAAGAGGTGCCCTGGTAGCAAAGTACCAGCCATAAAGCCGTGGTAGGATTGGTCACGTGGCAGTGAAGGGCTACTATTAATCGCTACAATTAAGGCAAGACGCGCTATCAAACATGCACGATTTGGAGATTCTACCAAACCTTCGATTCCCCTGGGTCGGTTAATTGGTACCAGACTCTGTAAGAATAAAAGCACTTACTTGTACGTCGGCTGGCCACCGCAAGACATTGTATGGACCGCATATGATTTCAAAACGCCAGTACGATTCTCAGTGAAAGTCGAATTCGAGAGCACATCCCAAAAACTGACTTGAGTAATGCCAAAGGCACAGCTTCTTCCCTGAAAGCCGAGCCAATAATTTCAGCCGTACATTGAAGAATATGAATAATATGATTTAGAACCGCTGATTTAGAACCGGTATTATCAAACAAACGCGGAAATGACGTAGTGGCAAGTGGCGCACCATTACGTGCATGGTCTAAGTTTCGAAGCCCGGAACTCACCTGAGCCAACCGAGACTCCTATCACTAGGGGCGGTTAATTGATATCAGACTCGTATGGAAGCATAAAAGCACTAACCTGTAAATCGGCTGTCCACTGCGATCAGTGTATAGGACACATTTAAACCGTCACTAGTATTCTGAATGGAAGTTGATTGCGGAATACGGCATGATTAACGCATAAGACCTTATCCTTTCATTCTTTTTCAAAAAGTAAGAGTCTCTTATGCGTCAAACATGTGGTGTTGTCTTCTCTTCTCTCTGAAGTCATTGACAAAAACATAGGATTCAGTTTTTCCTCAACTGATCTCTCATTTAATTTACAACAGAATAATGGTCAAAACTTCTTCCTGAAGTAGATTGCGAGCAGCTGAATTTTTTCTGGCGGTTTAATGACGATTAGGAAACCGTGATCACTACGTCTTATTATAATTCAGTCCCTTTGGTTCTCTCTACACGAATTTCCTTTCTATACAATAGTTCCACAAATTGTAGAACCTCGCTTTTGGTTCGAGAATTGCAATCAGTGCCCGAACTCTGTTCAGTAAGAAGGTCCTTGGTGGATTTTCGACTTTATATTCCTTAATCTCAACCCTCCTGTTCCTCCATTCCTCTCTTTGTACACCCCTAGGCCCTTTCATAAGGTAAACGATTTTGACCAAAAACTGGATGTGCGTGGCCCATCCAACGAATTTTACCCAACAACGAGTATTCATGAGCTCTACAAAAATAAAAGTGCAGGTTCTAAAGGTAAGTATATTGTCTGGATTCTACACGCTATTTCCGTTCATTGGAGATGCTACCAGTAAAATATTAGCCGAAAGTGAGATTGTATACATCCGAAAGCGCGGATTCATCAGATTTTCTCGCAGTCCGCGCCGCTGCCCTTGACATCTCGCCCTTTCGCTCGATTCCAGTATCATCCCGTATCAGTTGTTCTTTCTGAGGTGTTCTCGGGTTGCGATATAGCGACAGAACGTTGCCTGTTCTTGGAATACAGCTTGGCCACGGTTCGGCGCGTTTTTCGGGTATTGGGTATGGCCTTGAGAGAGTGTGCGACGTGAGCGGAAAAACGAGATAGTATTGCATAAGAGTCGCATGGTGGCGCAGAGTTAACGTAGACGATGTGGAGGAATCAGGTTTGGCGGCTACGAGGCGTATATCATTCTGAGGAGGACGTTGACACAACGAGAACGGAGGTGGCCGGTGCTTCCTGGCACAGCGAATATCTTTCGACGGTACCGTCACCAACATCACTACACACACTGAGTTCCTAAAATTGGCAGCGGCATCGCTTTCGTCGCCCCGTCATAGCTACCGTCGACACGGGCCAACCGCTGTTGCCGAACCATCCGGAATTTGCATTCCGCACATCGACTTCCGTAAGCCGCCGCCATGATGCCGAAATCCACTCGATCTCCTGGATCCGCTCTACGCGAACGTACTCGCTTGATACTCGATTGGGACAAGGTAAGTGCTTCTAAGACTTCTAGCACTAGTGCAGGGAAGTAGGCAAACATTTCTAGCCGTCTTCTCGTCACCATCCCTACCGTATGCGTCGTCTCAGTTGCGGATCTACCTGCTCTTCTGACAGTTCTCAGCCGAGTCCCAGTTCAGTAAGGTAAGCCGTAGCAGTAGTTTCATGCAGCCCATCAGTTCCAAAAATCCGGACTTCAGCTCCCTTCCTGATTCTCCACATCCAGCTATGCGGACCGCTCGAGACGTTCAAATCTTCGAAAGACTTCGCCAAGTTGTGCCCACTATCAGCTCTGAGCGGAACGCTTTCAGGGTGAGAACTTTTTGAGGAGCCTACCGTTCTTGAGCGAGACCTCACGAAAGCACTTTTTGGCGGATTTTCTCTGAACGTTGTTGTTTTCTAAATGTTTTGAGGAGAATTCACTCTTTTTAATGCCTACTTCATATCTTACAATCAAAACTACACTTGTCACTATTGTTCGGAAGAAGTCTTGAGCAGCTGGCATAACCTTTAGTTAACCTTCCCTGAAACCTATAGTAAACCATCGTTTCTTCGAGTTTATTGATTCTCCATACCCTTCCTTCAAGAAAGGACAAGTCACCTTAAAGGGCGAATGGCTGCCTTTTGACTTTCAAAACCAGGAAATTCTGAATTGTGCTCCCAAGAGGGAGCGACTTGGTCATGATTTCCCAAGTAATACCGCCTACATGTTACCGCCCAGAAAAATCGAACTAATACTTTTCTCATTTATCAAAAGGCATTTTGTCCCATCTCCTAGAATAGTTCTGTTGAGATCTTCAAAACTAATCGGCTCATTTGATTGTTTTGTGATTGGGTAAGGGAGGGCAAGGGGGGGGGGCTGTGATCGGGGAATCTTTTTTGGCAGCTATTCTTTGTATGAAGCGCATTCGTCGTCATCGGTGGTCATTCTATATGATTAGTAACTGCGCGAATGGCACAGGGTGGTACCGCTTTTTCGAAGTCGGAAAACCGGTTTTTTTCTCGGGGGAGACCGACGAAAGAAAAGATTCCAGTTGCTGCAACAGTAAGGAAATTAATGAGCCTACAAAACACTTTGCACTCTCACATCTTCGAATCCTTCTCCTTAAACTTCTCTATTTCGATGACTCTGATAGAGGGGTCATATAAATGGTCAGAAAAGCACAGAAGAGTTTCATGACTTGAACATTCTCTTGCAGATTCTGGTTGACTATGTGTCACAAGTAATGGAGCTTGAACAACGTCTTGAAGAAGTAGAAGAGAAAATTGATATCAAACCCCAGGTGAATCCAGCAATGGCACCATGGACCACCTGTGGTTACATGAGCAATCGTAAGACGTCGACGGCACATAACTCTGAGGTAGGCGAAGACCTAGGATTGAATGTAGTACTCGAACAAAATTAACTATCTACAGCATTCTCCATGAAATAGTAAAAAACAAACAAACAACAACAAATCTAGTAAACAGTAAGCAATAGATCAGAACGTCATTAGGAAATCGCGTAAGTCAAGTACGTCCATGGAAGAAAAAACTATATGGGGGCTTTCTAGGTCGTTTCATCCAAAGTATGTACTGGACTTAAGGATGGTGCGTGATCATCCAAAAACGACAGGGGACTCTCAGGTAGTTAGAGGATGTTTTGCGCACTCTATAGAATAATTCCGAGACTTTCCGATGGAAGGTTCTATGCGATCATCCTTGCCTTCTGTTCTCGTGAGCCAATCACCCAAGCGGAATAAACGCAATCCACCTCAGGCGCTTCATAACCTTCTATGTACTCTCTTCAGAGGGTCAGAGGCTCTTACTAACGCCTTGAAAAACGGAAAATAGGATATTGCCGATGCGTTAATAGGCGCTACACGGATCAAACTAGTCAGACAATTCTTATTTGGAAGCACTTGCATGGCTTATTACCCTGGCATCGCCAAAAACCTATGGTTCGTTGGATACTCCACAGCACCGGTGAATACTATGTGCTAGCCTCCGGTTTTGTAAAAAACAGAAGCTCAAGGGGTTTTTTCATAAGGTCGGGGATGGGAGGATTAGGGAATAGATTTCATGCAATCCCAGTCGTAGTAAAAGGAAGGGTCTAGCGTAGAGGCATTGGTCAACACCTTTGCGTTGCATACTCCCCCTGAAAAAATGTTGAAGCACTTGATGCCGCCTGTTAGAGCCAAACAGACTGCACGATGGTGTGATTCATTTTTTGGAAAAGAATGACGCTATATAGTCAATTTCGTAAGAATTTCTCGGGCAGCACTCGACCTACGAGTCCTGTCTGCTATAACAGCGCCTCTCACGTCTGCGGCAATTTACCCATGAGCGTGCTGAAAGAGTTTTAGCAGCGCTCTCAATCATTGCACCCCATTCAAAGAATGAACCAACACAGTTACGTAGTTAGGGTTTTAACCATTGCCATGCTTTTGTTCTGAGTCCACGACATTGGCAAAGCCGCACCGGCTCTTCTACAACGTTCTCTTTCGTGCTCCTTCATTTGCCCGTAGGGGTTAGCTCCATGCGAAGACGACAAACTGAAACGCTAATGGATAAGCGACCAATTGGTGCTCATTTCTTTCAACGGCATGACAGGCTATTTCTAATAAAAGCGGTTTTGAGCGCTTTTTCTCGCGTGACTCGAAATCAGCTGCAGGAGGCAGCGGCGCGCGCATGGTACGGCCAGGTAACCTTGAACGGGGCGGCTACGAATCCGAATCGAAATCTGTCTTCACTCTTCACTGGTCTTGTCGTGCTAGCCGTCAGACTATAGCGAACTGTTTGGGTAAACAACGACAATAACAACAACTGCTAAACAATTTGGGTGTGTTGAAGGTGAACTGAGTACGAAAACTGCATTAGTTGATCGTCAACTGGCAGACTCGAGGCCACGCAAACCTTGCGACCATACTGGATTACTACGTTGCTACGTCATTTCGTCTCAGAACCGTTCTTCTTGAACGGATTAGTCTAACATAGATGTGTAGCCATAGTCGTGCATACGTCACCAGTAGGTAAGGTGGTAGAAGATCAACCTCAGTGTTAAACTGGTAACCCTGAATTATGTCATACCTCCCATCTTCAAATGAAGTTAACTGGTTCTGAGGCGTAAAGTGGAAAGAGAACCGATTTTGCGGAAGTTTATTAGCCTTTTCTTCCCCATTTATTACTTTCGGATGTTTGCCACCTTCATCTACTCCAACCACCACAAGACAAAAAATCTGAAATTGTTCGGTAGGTATCTAGATCCCGTCGGCTGCCAAAGCGAGACACTGGGTTGCTCAAGACATCGGAGTAGTGAAGGCTGTAAAGGGCAGCGTCAGTACAATCCTGAGAAGCTTGTTGAGATCAGACGAATGTGGAAGAACACTTCGACAGGCTTCCAAAAGAAGTATTCCACCATGAGAATAGGTCCAGATAGAGGCAACGGCTGGTTCTATTACACTCTGGACGGAGTATGAAGTCCACCGAACAATAGGAAAGATGAAGGTTGCGAAGGAACTGGTACGGTTGGGGTGCCGATAAGTGCATGGCAGATGTTCGGAGGACACGGGATTACATCAGTCTCCCAATTCCTGGACTCTGCTGCCATTGAAGAGAGAATTTTAGATGTCTGGAGGAGCAGTTTCATATTCCCCAACTTCGAGCGGAAGAGGGACGCAATGGAATGCCCCATCCCTCCCGTTCGAAGATGGAGTGACCAGGTTGGCTCCTCACACGGTGAAACTGGGGAAGTTGGTCGTTGGCCGGCTCAACATTGAGGGAACTAGTTCCGACCCACAAGAGCAGTGCGGCTTCACGCCAGATACGTGTACAAAAGATGCCAACTTCACAGTTAGAAAATGATGAGGAATTTTCATTGGAAGCGTAGTCGTAGCTACATAGTCTTTCGTGGTGAGGAGAAAGCGACAAGCTGCAGAAATGACGGAAAAGTCTAGGCTGAATGTGAAACAGGTCAAAGTTCTCAGCCTGAGGGCTCACGGAGTCAAACGAAGATTGCCCGGAGGGAGCCATCGGAAAAATGCAGAAATTCTGGTATTTGGGGAGTGACTTGGCTGATAACGGTAGCAAGGATCAGGCTATAAAAGCTCAAATAAATGCGGCATTTATGAAGTGGGGGCAGTTCACTGGTGATCTCTGCGAAGAATGTGCTCTAAGAAGCATCAAAGAGAAGTGTATCAGTCAAAGGTGAGGCCCACGATGCTCAATGCAGTGTTGGCCCTCTAATAAAAATCAAATCATGAAAGACAAGTCCACCGTGCTGAAACTAGGATGCTCAAATGAGACTGGATCATAAAGAAACGATGACACCTGGCGGTCACGCATCCCCTGTTCATATTAAGATGAGGGAGCAGCGTCTGCGATGATGCGGACATGTGCCGAGAAGCCCAGGGAATCATCCAATAAGGAGCAATGGAATCCGAGGCTCTTCATAAGTGACCACGAGGATCCTTAAAGCGGAGGTGGAGGAAGGGATCAAGGATGAGATGAGGAGAAGAAGTTCAATAGGTTGAATAGGTTCAATAGGTTGTTCAATAGGTTCAAAGTGTTTGACAAACCATTGTGAGGCGTCCTGGTTGATTCAGAACAACTCCGGAACGTAGATTATAGCAAGGTTTAGGTGTGTGGTGTAGGTGAAGAATAAATCGTGAGAAAAGGACGGATAAAAAAGACTGCATTCTGGTAAAAATCCATAACAGACAGTATGGATTACCAAACAAAGTTTTGATTTTCTAAATTACTTGTGTGAAAGACTAAGTGCCCGTCAACTGATAACTGCACTTTCAGTTGTTTCCCGATGACCTCGCCGGTGTTGACGTGAGCGCCTTCAAGCATTTGATCTGCTCACAACCTCTTCGTATCGATGCCAGTTTATTCCAATAATATCATTCGATTCAGATTGTCTCCAGCACTTTTTTTCCTCCAGAAATATCTTTTTTTATTTTGATCTGTTGTGTGTGTATTTGGTTCTTCTTGGCATTATTTCCATGTAGATCTCCTTCATAGATCTTTGTTTCTAAGCATTACCAGCTTCTGTTCCCAGTGTAAACATTTCATTCTTATATTTATACTCTTTGGATAGTATTGAATTACAGCATGAAATCTCTTGACCTCAATTTATTACTAGCTATCGGGTTTATAAGCATTTTACTACTTGTTGTATCGATGTTTGTATTCGAGAATAAACTCGAATCCTTGTATCAGTTCGTCGATACCTGCTTTTATGACAACTGTGGAAACATTCTTTCCTACACCGTACACAATTTTGGCTCGTATACAGTATAGTGACTGAAGGAGACTTCGTGAAGTCGAATTATTCACAACCGCCACCGATCAAGTTTGCACTTTCACTTGCAAACTTCTACTGNTTCTAGAGATTCAAAAATTAAAAGTACTAGCATCAGTACCGATTTCCCTTCTCAGGTTGTCGCTGATGTTCAAAATGTTTCAAGCTGGAGATGGCAGTCGAGCCGGCGTGACCTGTACTAGCTGCTCGTACCCTTTGCCTAGTAGAGTAGTTCTCCTACGCCGGCTGTCTAAGTGTTACTGCCTCCGCGGTAGGATAAGATGGTACGTCCTGCGAGAAGGACACTCAATGCACGCGTCTTGCCTCCCACCATGGCGTGCATCTACTTCCGAGTTTCTGCGCACCGTGGAACGATCTTATAAGGTATTGAGTGAGTGACACATTACTGATACACCGAAAACACGAAAGAACTACATATGTTTTGTGCTATTCATTTCTGCACATTCTGCAATTCGACACCAGCGGCAACTATCGTAATCTTAGGCTTAAATTTATTCGTTTCATGGCAAGCTTTAGTATGTCGTGCAATTGATATACCCAAAAGTGCACGCAGAAAAACTGCCCACTTCGCGCAACAGCTATGAATCAAGTTTTCGCTCCTTCTTCGTTGTGAAAACGAAATCTTGCGGAAACTTACAAATTGATTAGAGCGCTTCGAAGTTTTCAAATTACTTCAGAGTAGGAACATAGTGATTTCAGAGACCCTCTGGATATAAAGCATTAACTTTTGTGTCTGTTTGTACGCCGTTTTGTGTGTTGCTCCGCAAAAAGTTACGTAAGCGCGATGAGGACTGTAAAATGCAGCGATCGCGTATATGTGGAGGAAGGTTCTGCGGTTTTTATTGTAATCAGTATTATATTTAATTTATTTATTATAGCTAATATTATCTATTTATTATATGATATTATTATAATTTTCCTGCGAGTGGGCATTTCAATGCGAACGGAGCATGAAAAAAATCCTACCTTTTCTATTTCATTTTTTATATTTGCCTATGATCAGTTCTTGTGTGTCTCGTCTACAAGTGACTGGAAAGTGTCTATACAATTCGGAGTGACTTTGTCACGTTCCCTATGCTCCACTCGAGATTAGTGTCATTCCAATAGGTTTCTTTCGCGTTTTGCAAAGGAAGTCGCGGAGAACACTGCCACGCGAACCCTTTGGAGGATAAAGAAAAGGCCTAGGAAAATTGTTTATGCTAATAAGAATTCAGTAAACTTTTTTTGTCGTTAAATGACCGCAAAGTTGCGAAACAAGGGATAAGATGTCAGATGTCGTTATCTGGCTTATATCTTCAACGACCACCCTATTTGCACTGCTTCATCTCCTCTCCTCTGCTCGTTCAGTTTCACTATCATTGTTCAAAATTTCTTCTCTGTCCTTATGAAGCTGTCCAGAATGCGAAAAAGTAATGCTGAAGAAGTTGTGCACCCGTTTACAAGTCGTACACCGCCAACTCATGAAAGAGGTGATGGGACTTCGAGGGCAGAAACAGGGACTCCTGAAACAGCTAGAATGTCCCTCATGTGATGAAAGGTTCACCAATAATGACGGACTATCTCTGTACATATATACAGGGTATCCAACAGTGCTTTAATGTATTTACCTCAATATTTGTACATTAAATTGTATTTGTTACCATTATAATCCATAAGGATACTTAATGTCCACCTGTTTTTTGATCAATATGTTTCGTAATCTCTTGTTATGGCTATTTCAAGATGTTTCGAAATGTTACTGTATTCCACAGTACTACCGCTATGTTTGACGGTTGATCCGCCTTAATCGGTTAAATCCAGCTTCGTCTCGCTGCCGAGTGGCAGGTATATCTCTTTTCACTTTTTAGTCAATAAAGCTTTCATATCTGAACTGTCTACACCTGAAGCATCATCGGCCGGCAACACTTGCGAGACAAAGGATCCGAACTGAAGGAGGCAACTGGGCTACCACCCAAAGCTAGAGTTCTGAAGGGCGTGAACTTGCCACTGTGTAAAGCAGGAGCAACAATTTTTAGGGTAGGAGGTGCATTCCGGTCAGCGGAAGCATCTTAGTCTCCTCATAGTGTCACAAGATAGTTTCGAAAGGAACCTCGGCTCTATTAATTGGTGACCTATCGGCTAGTTGCGCAGGCGCCAAGTAGGGTGTCAGTATTCCGTAACGCTCGTCTGGGATCAAAACGGTCTAGAAGCTTCAAAACATCACGCACTCATAGCCGTCACCTATCCTGCCACTATCTTGTAACGTATTGATTGGATATAGCTCATAGCCTTGTTTGAAGTACTCATAACGTTACTACTATAGTTGACTGTAGCCTATCGTGCAAATTGAAAGCCCCAACGCTCGTCTAGCTCGTCGGCAAATAGTAATACGGAAGCATTAAAACAAACTAGTTACTTGTAGATTCGACATGAGTTTCCCAGAAGATTTGGATGGCAGGGACACCTCACAGGTAGATTACTTAGAGCGACTTTTCCTGGGTGACCTGATCACGTCGAATCCGATTGCTCCGATGAAAGCCTCGATAGACACACTCGTCGGAACGGTGAAAGAAATTGCGCATAAAGGTGAGGGTATCCCACGCTGATTTGTAAGATAAATTAAAGACTATCCGAGACTTTTCCGAAACTAGGATAGAGCGCTTGAATGAGTCCCTGCAAATGAGCAAAAAGGAGCAGGGCTGAGAAATACGAAATACACCTTTTGAACATGCTAAATCCGCCAAAGGACGAGTTAGGAAATACAATTTGTCTATAAACGCCTGTACTCACTCAATTCCTTAGTGGGCCGAGCAGTCCCAACATCACTTGAAGCTTCTAACACAAGCGGAGCACCACAATAATTGCATGCGGAAATTAGCGAGCGTGATTGATGCGGACACTGAACCAGAGGGCCGAGAAACGCGGGAGGCGCTCATTGCTCTAGAGCACCATCTTCAGTCGGGCGGATCGCTCGTATTCTTCCCCAGGCCTTACGAAGACGAAAGGGAGGTCGAGTGGTTCGACATGGGGGGGGGGGGGATTTGCGCAGAGTATGTCCATTATATAACGGATCCATAGCGGGCGTTTGAAGCCATTGTGCGGGGCCAATATTGTGATATATCAGAAGGGGCACCACCACTCACCCCGCAGGATGTTTGGGGACGCATCCGCAGCGAGGTCAGAGTTGCTTTGGCTTCCAGATTAGGCTCTTTTTGGATAAGTTGCGTCTCACGGTCAATGATCCCATTACAATTGGTGGACTTGAAATGGCCTCTTCCGAGGTAAGAGTCCAGACGGCTCAACGTCGTCGCCGTAGTGAAAATAGCATGCCGAACTTTTTCGTGATAGAAGACCCGGAGCAGGTACGGCACCGTGGAAAGATCTTTTTTCGCGGGCCGGACGGAGGAGAGAGGCAGTATCCTCCGTAAAGTGGACCGCCCTGGTCCAGCTGAAACGAGCAGTCCAACGAGAACATAGTCCGGAAAGTAGCTCGTGGTGAAGGAGCCAGCGCCAAGGAAATCTGCAACACCAGCCTGCTCGTCTCCGTCGGGAATGCCAACCACGTCGCTATGTTCCACGCTGGAAGTAGTTAGAGTCGGGACGAATCTTCTCTCTGAGGCGCCATGTAGATACAGGGTATCTAATGATGCTTTATTGTATTTTTCTCACTATTTGTACGTTTACTTGCATTTGATAACAAGATAGTCATTTGTCTACCTATTTTTTGATCGATATGTTTCGTAATCACATGTTATGGCTATCTTAGGATCTGTTTCGAAATGTTACTGTATCCCACAGTAATGCCGCTATAACTGACGGTTGATCCGCCTTAACCGGTTCATCCCGGCTTCGCCCGGGCCCAGTAGCAGATCTCTTTCTTTTTCTTCCTATTCAGTAATATAGCTTCCATATCTGGACCGTCTACTTCTGAACAAAAATCGACCGGCTACAGTTCCGCAACATATCAGCGTTGCCAAGCAGGCCATTGTGAAGACGCACAGGAGGACGACCCCAGAATTAACCCACCATTATAGCTCACTTTACAAGCCGTGAAGAATATGAGATTTGTGAGTGCTCTAATCATGTCGAGGAGAAAGTTTTGAGTAGTTGTAGTTCACGAAACTATGCGAAGAAACCTGCACGTCGTTCGCCAGAAACCACTCGGAAACTTTGGCGTGTTCGGGAGGCGAGAGATTTTGTGAGTTTCTTCGAGGTGATCAGATGAAGCGTATTCTTTTTACCTTTTGAATAAGGTGCAACCGAGCTGATGTGACTCCGGGGCAGGCAGCGCATAGAGCTGCTGTAGGTCAGAAAGATGTTCCACTGTTCCTGCCATTTGGATGTGACCTTCAAAGAAGGTGGAACAGTTGCTGTGAAAAGTTGCCAGGGTCATGTAGGGCATGAGCTGGATCCAGCTTTATTGGAAATGTAACTCCTAAATGCAGTTTGATTATTAATCAGCGCAGTTCAAAATAGAGCGTTCTATCGATTACATTATCAATCGCCTCCGCAAGGAAAACTCAACAAAGTCTTCCAAGCTTTCAGTGGTGGTGAAGATGGATTTGCCCAACATCATAAGGTGATATCATATGGCACC